TAAAGCACCATTGGGGAAGTAGTCAATTAAGGTGTTATTTATAAATGTCAAGATTGGATTGCCCCTTTAAACACCCTGGCATACTCAATAGACAGTTGGAAATCGAACTCAATCAAACTCAATCAAATTCAGTCTACCTCAACCAAACTCAATCCATAGACTGACTTAGACTGAGTTGAGCAATCAAAGGAAATTGAACACCAAACTCTGCGTGAGTTCAACTTCTGAACCAATCAACCTAAATTGGACAAATTGAACCCAATCAAACTCAATTTTTGATTGTGTTGGACTGAGTTCGGCAACCAAACTCAGTTCAACACCAAAAGTTTGGAAACAAAGATTTGAGAAATCAAACATTCAATTCAGTTTGATAGTCTCTTATGATTTTCGTGTAGGTTCGATTTTGTTTGATCGCAGAGTGATTGATTATGCCAGAAAAAACTTAGGTAAATACCTGTCCCTGGAATTTCATTTTCACTGCCATCAACTCTCCAACCCAGCGCCTGGATCAATTCCTCCTCTTCTGCTTCAGTCACAAAGTCTTCCACTAGCACAAGTCCAGCCGGTTTAACCTGATTCTCAATCGTGACGTCGTCAGGTACATTTGCAAGGAATGAAAGGTAAAAGGTCACATCGGGTCTGGGAAATTCGGAAGGGCAATTTAAAACACGACCATGCACTGTCTCCATTGCCCTCACAGATTCACTGACAGTCTGAAAGCTGATAAAGGAAAACGATCGACCAGGAAACATTAAAAGCCGTTCAATGTTTCCAAACTTCTGAAACAAGCTAACGATTTGACTTCTGTCAACACCGCACATTAATCCTCCGTTTCCAACCATCAGGTGTCGAGTTGGCGATTCTGAAACACTTGCAAGATCGGCATTATGTCTACGAAGAGCATGGATAAGTTTTGTTTGTTTTCTTAAAGCCTTCTTCTCTGCTTTGGTCAATTTGTTGGCACAGGATTTGACCGCACTAGAAGTCGCCATCTTGGATTCTAAATTNCGAAGAGCATGGATAAGTTTTGTTTGTTTTCTTAAAGCCTTCTTCTCTGCTTTGGTCAATTTGCTCGCACAGGATTTGACCGCACTAGAAGTCGCCATCTTGGATTCTAAATTTACGGAGGAAACCTCAGATCTAAGATTCGCAGGCTCGGCACTTATTCGATACTCCGCTGACCAGCTACAATCGCGGATCGCTTCGCGGCCGGGAAGCCAGATTCAAGTCAGGAAGACGCAGGAAGAATTGGTTCCACACTGGTGGAGAACGGTGGCGTTTATGCAGTGTAACGCAAGATTATTAAGCATACACAACCATATAACTCCTGAAAAGGTTAGCGGATGTATTGAATTTTGTATGTCTTCAAGCTGTAACTGGATTAGACAGATTAGAAAGCCATTAGAATGTCACGAGTAATGGCAACTTGTCACATGGCGTGGTGCTCTTAAAACTGCTTGACTTATGAAAACGATTTTTAGCACGAATGTATTCCAAAATTACAGTGCGTTTGTGCTGAATTCCGGTTCTATCAGACGGACGTAACAAAGACTTGTAGCAATGATCGTATTATGGAACTCCCCTCATGTTGTACGCCAGTTTCACATTGTGTGCACCATGTAAATACGGGTTATTGACCAAGCTTGTTCGGTCAAGATGGCTGGATATTGGCCAAGTTCTTTTTTTGCATGTTTATGGACCGAGACAGAGTCGAGGTCCATAAACTCGCAAAAAGAGAACGAGGCCAATATCAAGCCATCTTGACTGAACAAGCTTGGTCAATAAAGGATTTATTATATGACTTTCGGGGAAATTTTTTTTGCGGGACACGACGGGTTGTCCCAAGCGGGTAAGATAGCTCCATCTTGCCCACTCAGGAAGCCAATCACAGCGCAGGCTTTGATTCATCTTGCCCGCTCACGGAGCTGACTATGTAATGATATGATTTAAATGCGTCACCTACGTCTTGAAAGAAGACAAAGCTGGTTCATTGCCATGCTTGTACTGTAATATTGAAAATCATGTAATTGTAGAATCCAAGTTTAGAATGTTACAAAGTCAACAGGTATCTTGTACTGCCAAGGTCTTGATTGTGTAGCATGAGGGGAGAAAAATTATTTCCCACCCCACTTAGGTGAACTGATACCCATCACAGTTTTTTTCTCACTAGTAAAGAATATAAACAAGATGAGACAGACGATTGCTATCATTGTTAAAACCAAGTCTTGGTTTATTTTAGTCCTCTGTCTCGTCTTGTCTATTTTCTTTTCACATTTTGATTCTCGCCGGTACAATCCACAGGCTTACATGACTGTTTGCTTAGGTCTCAGAAGTAGGGGTTCAGGCATCTCTTGCATCACGGACCCCTGACAAATTCACTTTGGAAGAGGAATCTCCTTTCTTGGAGCCAGCCAGGATGCAAATGTTTGTTCACTCACTCATCTGTTTTTGTTCCTTCAGTTGATTTTTTTATTTTTCCTTGAATCCCTGATTCAATGCAGTAGAGTTTCTCCTGTCTTGAAGAGCTCGGGGGCCCTGTATTTTCAGGCAAAAACCCTGGAGCCCTAAAATGCTTTGGACTCCTTTCAGGGTAGAGAGACACATATTGAGCGTACAATCTCAAGCAACCGGCTGGAAGAGTCTGACCATGGCTGGAAGGGTCTGACCATGGCNTGGACCGAGACAGAGTCGAGGTCCATAAACTCGCAAAAAGAGAACGAGGCCAATATCAAGCCATCTTGACCGAACAAGCCTGGTCAATAAGGGATTTATTATACGACTTTCGGGGAAATTTTTTTGCGGGACACGACGGGTAGTCCCGAGCGAGTAAGAAAGCTCCATCTTACCCACTCAGGAAGCCAATCACAGTGCAGGATTTGATTCATCTTGCCTGCTCACGGAGCTGACTATATAATAATATGATTTAAATGCGTCGCCTACCTCTTGAGGGAAGACAAAGCTGGTTCATTGCCATGCTTGTACTGTAATATTGAAAATCATGTCATTGTAGAATCCAAGTTTAGAATGTTACAAAGTCAACAGGTATCTTGTACTGCCAAGGTCTTGATTCTGTAGCATGAGGGGAGAAAAATTATTTCCCACCCCACCTAGGTGAAGTGATACCCATCACAGTTTAGTCTCACCAGTAAAGTATATAAACAAGATGAGACAGAGGATTGTTATCATTGTTAAAACCAAGTCTTGGTTTATTTTAGTCCTCT